AATGTAGGGAGTAAGATGGCAGTGGGCTTAAAGGCCAGGCTTGTTTTCTAGGTTGGTCTCTGAGTTCCTGCAAGATCTGGTTGTTTAAAAGTATGTGGCATTTTTTGCCTCTCTCTCTTGCTCCCACTCTAGCCATGAGAGCAAGAATGGACTAACACAACCCAGGAAATGTGTTCCATAACTCTCCACAGAAGAAGCCTCAAAAAACAAGTGCGGTAGTTAGGTTGCTGCTCAAATACCATGGCAATTGTCATCCAGTTCTTAATTATTCATAAGGCTGGTGTGGTCTAAGGAAAGTTAATTGTATATACTGCATTAATCTTAGCAAGAAAATTTAAAGCATAATCCAATAGGACAATTTTGCACATTGTCAGTGCTCAGGACTTAAAGATAAATCTGACCAGGCCTATAAAATATTAGGCAACAGTCAAATGAAAATTTGTGTCATTTCAGACAACTGGACGGCTGGCCATCAGAGGTTGTCTGATGCTATGGAAAAAATAGTTTGAAGGCTTTGCAAGCCAGAACATGTGTTCCTACAGGCTGATGACATTTTTCTTTTGGAAATCTTATCTTTTGACCACTGGCCTCAAAGACTCTTCCTATCCAATTTATTATTTTCATGACTTTATTGCAGGAATAAAAACAGGCATTAACAGGATATCTCTGACCATGAAAGGTTCCAGTCTGGAGGAAAGACATGATACTTCAATGTTGCTTACTTCTTGGAAGTGAAAGCAGTGAAACATGCTAAAATAATTTGGGTAACATCCCCATTAGTGTATCCCACAGCACACTCCAACTCTGAGGAATAAATTTTTCAGTGGTAGTACCCAAAGCTGTGTCTTCTCTGCTAATTCCTTTGTATAAATCATGTGACTGTGTTCTGCCTAATAAATTAATTGGGATAATAACACCTGTCTTCGTCCATTTTATGTTGCTATAGCAGAATACATCAGACTGGATAATTTGTAAAAAAAGATTTATTTAGCTCATGGTTCTGCAGGATGGGAAGTACAAGAAGCATGGCACCAGCATCAGTTTGGCTTCTGGTGAGGGCTTTTGTGCTACATCATAACATGGCAGAAGGTCAAAGGGGAAGCAGACATGTGCAAAGGGGCAAAACCCAAGGGTATCCTGATTTATAACAACCCACTCTCATGGGAACTAATCCATTTCCACGAGAACTAATCCAGTCTCATGAGCACAAGAGCTCACTACTGCGAGAACAGCACCAAGTCATTCATAACGGATCCACTCCCATGACCCAAACAGCTCCCCTAGGCTCCATCTCCCTATACTGCGACACTGACAATAACATTTCAACATGAGTTTTGATGGGGATGAACCATATGCAAACATAGCATTCTGCCTCTAGCCTCAAAAAAATCCTGTGCTTCTCATATACAAAATACAATCATTCCATTCCAATAGTCTCAAAAGTCTTAACTTGTTCCAGCAACAACTTAAAAGTCCAAAGTCTCATCTAAGACTCATAGCAAGTTGCTTCCAGTTGTAAGCCTGTAAAATTAAAAATAAGTTATTTATTTTCAAGATGCAATGGTGGGACAGACATTTGGTAAACATCCCCACTTGAAAAGGGAGATAGAGGCCAAAATAAAGAAATGACAGACCCCATACAAATCTGAAACTCAGCAGGGCAGACATTAAATCTTAAGGCTCCTGCATAATCTTTCACACCATGTGTCATCTCCTGGGCACACTGATGTGAGGGGTGGGCTCCCAAAGCCTTGGGCAGCCCTGCCCCACTTGCATCACTGGGTGTAGCACACGTGGCTGTTCTCACAGTTGGAGTCAAATGCCCGTAACTTTTCCAGGCAGGCATTGCACATTGTCAATGGCTCTACAGTCTCAGGGTCCCAAAGGTAGCCCCACTCCCTCAACTCCTACTTCCCTGGTAGGGACTCTCTATGGCTGCTTTGATTATACATTTCTGCTCAGCATTGCTTTAGTAGAGGCTCTCTGCAGTGGCTCTGCCCCTTTGACAAGTCTGCCTGGGCTTCCAGGCTTTCTGATACATCTTCTGAAATCTAGGTGGGAGCTCCTATATACCTCCACCACTCTTGCATTCTGCATGTCTACAAAATTAGCACCATTTGGATGTAGATGATGCCAAAGCTTACAGTTTGGGATCTCTGGAGTGGCAGCACAAGGAACACCTGGAACTGCTTAAGTCACCAGGATGCAAGAGCAGCAGCCTGAAGTGGCCCTGGGCAGCAATTTCACAGAAAACACCCAGATTTGTCCCTCAAAACCATTCTGCCCTCTTAGGCCTCTGGGCCTTTTTCCCAATGTCCTGATGCACAGCACTTGACTCCCTTATATGCATACTAATCTTTTTAGCAAGTAGTCTCTTGACAGTACCCTTGAATTGTTCTCCTGAAAACACTCTTTCATTTCACATGGTTGGGCTGCACATTTTTCAAATGTTTACATTCTGCTTCCCTTTTAATTATACATTCTGCCTTTAGATTATTACTTTGCTGTGCCATAACTAAGCATGAGCTATTAAAAGTAACCACATCACTTCTTGAGTGTTTTGCTGCTTAGAAAGTTCTTCCACCAGATACAAAAGTTCATCACTCTTAAGTGCTACCTTCCATAAATCCCTAGGGAATAGACATACTACAGCCAATTTCTTTGCAACTGTGTAACAAGGATGGGCCTTACCTCAATTTTCAAGAAGATATTCTTCATTTCCATCGGAGACCTCATCAGCATGGCTTTTACTGCCCATATTTCTATCAGCATTTTGGTCACAATTACTTAAACAATCTCAAAAAAGTTCCAAACTTTCCCTCATCTTTTTGTCTTTTTCTAAGCCCTCACCAGAACTGCCCTTAATGCTCTGTTCACTGCAATACAGTCTCTTTCTAGCCTGCTCCTCCTCCAAATTCTTTCAACCATTGCCCACTACATAATTCCAAAGCAGATTTCACATTTTCAGGTATTCACAGAGCAAATCCCACTCCTCGGTACCAATTTTCTGTGTTGGTCCATTTTGTGTTACTGTAATTGAATAAATACCTAAGGCTGGGTAATTTACATAAAAAAGAGGTTTATTTAGTTGATTGTTCTGCAGGTTGGGAAGTACAAGAAGCATGGTGCCAGCATCTGCTCAGCTTCTGGTGGGGTTGTTTGTGCTGCATCACAACATGGCAGAAGGTCAAAGAGGAAGTGGACATGTGCAAAGGGGCAAAACCCAAGGGCAACTTGCCTTATAACAACCCACTCTCATGAGAACTAATCCATTTCCACGAGAACTAATCCAGTCTCATGAGAGCAATAACTCTCACTACTATGGGAATGACACCAAGCCATTCATGAGGGATCCACCCCCATGACCCAAACATCTTCCAACACCACCATGCTGGTAATCAAATTGTGAGATTTGGTGGGAACAAACCACATCCAAACCATAGCAATACCATAAACCCAGAAATAAAAACTGTTTCATCAAAAGCAAGGCATATTTAAGAAGAAAATACATTACTATTTAAAATATTAATAGAGCTGGAACTACCAGAGAAAAAAGTTAATCCCATAACTGGACAGCCTAAAGAAAATGCCCTGGAATGAATGGGAGACAGAAATAACAAGTAGAAAGTGGTTTTGCAGAAAGTCTTCCTTTATTAAGGAAGATATCTGACCACAGTTGTGGTTGAAATACTCATAAATAAATAATGTTTACCAACAAGAAGTAGTTATTTTCATGAAATAATCACTTCCAAGTGGTTTTAAAAGAGACTGCCAAATAGAATATACATGCAATTTGATCATCTCATATTTTGGCAGGTAGAAACACAAAAGCGTTAGGAACCAAACATCATGCTTTTTGCTGCTATACATTTTGCCTAAATAGAATTCTTCCACATGGTGAACATGCCTCTGCTTATTCAGCAAAATCCACTGTGAGTCCTAAACCATTTCCTAAAAGCTAAATTCCTTTCAATAAGGCACTAAATCATTTTTTTGTAAACACCAAATGCTTTCTCACTGCTGGGAGTGGTATTATAGACTTATTTTTTGATATATGTTCCAGCTTTTCAAGATTCTGTTGCAAACAAAAAAGATACTTTATGATATTCCTGTTTATTACTTTCCAGAATTTCTATCATTAATTAAAGGGCCTCCTTTCCCTCCTCTACTACCCAAAAAACTGATCTATTCCCCATATGCCTATCCGAGACCAAATAAAAGTCGGTCTATCACAGCAGCAGTGATGGTCATGCCAATTTCACAGTGTGATCTGTGTATTCATTTCATTTTGAAAATCACCCTGCCCTCCATCTGTCTAAGCCGAATGTCCTGCTTTTTTCAAGCTAGGCCTAAGGAGCAGCATTACATGAAGTAAGGAGGAAGAGACACAGAACAGCCCCCCTCCTGCCCACTCCAGCTGCCATGCTCACAGGTACCAACACAAAGAGGAGAACCCCAACTGATTTCTGCAGGGATCTCAGAAATTTGGAGGAGAAAATATAGTCCTTTTACTTTTCATATATTTTCAAGAAGCCATTTGAAGGTGAATGTGTTCATGATGCAAATACAACTCTGCAAAATAAAGGTGAAAGATAGGAAAGACAATTTCCCATTTTTGTGTTCTGTCTTCTTACCTTAATTTATTGTTACCCAAGGTAACAGCTCAATATATAAGAATTTTTTTGTTGTTGTTTTAGAGTCAGAGTCTCATTCTGTTACACAGGCTGGAGTGCAGTGGTATGATCACAGCGCATGACAACCTCAAGCTTTTGGGCTCAAGCAATTCTTCTGCTTCTATCCTGAGTAGCTGGGACTATAGTTACATACCACCATGCCTGGCTTTTTTTTTGTTGTTGTTGTTGTTGTTGTTGTTGTTAGAGATGAGGTTTTCCTATGTTACTCAGGCTGGTCTTGAACCCCTGGCCTCAAGCAATCCTCCCACCTTGGCCTCCCAAAGCTCTGGGATTATAGGCGTGAGCCACAGTGGCTGGCCCCAGAATTTTTAAATATTAAGTCTTTTGGATATTGTTTCCAAGGACAAGTGTCAATCGCGCAGGTAGTAAGCAGAACACCCCCTACTCCTTGAATATTGAGCAGCACTAGCCAGCATCTTTCAATCTACAAACAGTTCTGGGTTGAAAATTGGATAAGGCTGTAGCTGAAATTGGGTAGAAAGAAGCCTTGAAATAGGGTTACAGAAGCCTTTCTCAACTGTTTTCCCTGGTGTTTTTGCATGGTCCAGAGCTACACTCAACCTCTCTAAAATGAGTGCACTTTTGTCCCTTTCTTGGTACTGATGAAATACGAGGTTCCTTGTCTGTTCTCATCTAGGACAGGACTGTGGCAAACTTCTCAGCAAGAGAGAAGAATATATGAGTACACGAAGTCAGTTGCTTTATGGTATAGCATTCAGACATCTACTGAAGTTCCTTTTTACGTATAACAGGTGACCACTCCCAACTAATCACTTTCTAATACTTGCTCACAGTTACAACTTAGGCCAAGAAGTTCAAATTTCCACTGGCCAAACCAAGGTGGCTGGTTGCTTTGATAGGAAAATAACAACATAAAAAAGCAAGACACTAATATTCCCCTATAACTGGGTGCATACATGAGAGATAGAGTTAATTCATCAGTGATTATTACCTATTGAACTTAGCTTTGGAATTTCATGATTCAGCTGCTTCTTATCTGCTATGTCATCTCAGGCAACTTACCTAATCTTTCTGATTCACATGTTCTTCATCAGTAATATGCAGAATACAGGGTGGTTATTATGATTAGAAAGAATATATATAGGTGGTCTAACAGAATGTCATGCAATATGGTTGGTGTTGGCTCCAAAATTTGTATGTAGAAAATATTTATGAACAGCAATACTGTTGAAGAGGCAGTAAGGTACCTGCATTGAAGTATTTAACTACATAGCAAAGACATATTCTGACTTGGACTGTTTATCTTGGGTGGTAGTGAGGCCGATGGACATCATGGAAGACTACAAAAGACAATGCCTTGTCCCAGGCCACCATATGATAGATGTTAATTAATTACAACTATTATTGTTACCTTGAAAACTACACTATTTACAGGTACCTCACTGGGATAAGCCAAATTCATATTTTGCTATCTTGTCTACGTCCCTAATTCTTGATTGAAAAATTACATTCTCCCTTAAAGTCTATGGTCTCTAGGTCAGTTTAATCTAGGGGTATTTTTTAAATTAGTGATTATATATAATTTTATGGAATAATTAAGCCCCTAGTTTTTCACAGCCCCATCATGGGCACTAATAAATTGAAAAGACATTATACAAAAATAGCCCCAGGACAATAACATGGAATCTACAGAATCTATTCCAAATACATAATGAAGAATGAAAGAAAACCCAGAATGATATCTTGTACAGTCTAGCAAACCTACATAGAAATCTTCAAACTAAGAATCTGGAAAAAAATTAAAGTGTAGGCAATGTTTTTTTATTTTAACAGAAGAAAATCCATATTTATTAGCTCAATATCCAAAATCCCTAGAAGGCTGACAAGTACAAACTGAGCATGTGTGTCTCTCACAGACCCACACATCACTGGCAGACAAATCTAGTAGTTAAGAGAGAAGAGTAAAAATGCACAGGGAAAGGAGCACATTTTAATGTCTTGGATTTTCCCCTCTTGGAAAAGACTGAAGTCATGCATTTCTCGAACTTTTCTACTTAGTAGTGAAAGTTGGAACTCCAGCGCAATGGGGATGGCCAAGGGTAAACGCCAATATATACTCAGTAATATTTGTTATGGGAAAAAAAGAGCGGGAGATACTTCGACCTAAAACCGAACTTCTTCCAGTACCAATCAAGATTCACAGTCCTTTTTCCTCATTAACATCTGGAAACCACCAAATTAAGGATTCCTGCTCGCCGCTCTATTCTATTCTTACAAAGTGTGCCCTCGGGGCAGCGTAAAAAGAACCTGCTCTAATTCCAGGGGAATTCCAAGAGATAACTCGCCTTTTGCCATCCCGGTCCTTTTAGTAAAACTAAACCAAAAGGCAGCATTAGTATCGACGACACCGAGTACAAGGCTCAAAATCGCCAGGAACATGGGGCCGGAAACCTTTCTCCGCCGCGCCAGAGATCAAGGTGCCAAAACAGACACAGTGAGCGCCCCTGATCTTTAGGGGGCAGGGAAGGAGGGTTACCCTGCATCCCCACCGGCCGCGGGTCGGGTAGGTACAGCCGGGACTACGCCTCCCAGCATGCAGCGCGGCTACGTCCCGCGCCGCGGCACCGCTGGAACGGTGCAGGCAGGGACCAGGAGATTCAGTCTCTGAACGGCCCGGAGGAGTAGCCTTTCCCCTCCTGAATGCCGCCACTCCGCAGTCCACAGTATTTGAAGCTCCAACCAAAACTCAGAGACTGACGAGAATGGTCCCTTTTTATTCCTAACAGATTTCTTGCGACAAGGAAACCGGCAGTCTTCCGCTTCCGGTTGCCCTGTTGCCGTGGTAACCGCACGCATAACAGCCGTAGTGATTATGGCGGTCCTGAGCGGCGCGCAGATCCCCGACGGGGAGTTCACCGTGGTCGTTTACCGGCTCATCCGCGATGCCCGCTACGCTGAGGCGGTGCAGCTGCTGGGCCGAGAGCTGCAGCGGAGCCCTAGGACTCGCGCAGGCCTGTCGCTGCTAGGTTACTGCTACTACCGCCTGCAGGAGTTCGCGCTGGCGGGCGAGTGCTATGAGCAGCTGGGCCAGCTGCACCCGGAACTGGAGCAGTACCGCCTGTACCAGGCCCAGGCCCTGTACAAGGCCTGCCTTTATCCGGAGGCCACCCGGGTCGCCTGCCTTCTCCTGGATAACCCCGCCTACCACAACCGGGTCCTCCGCCTGCAGGCTGCCATCAAGTACAGTGAGGGCGATCTGCCGGGGTCCAAGAGCCTGGTAGAGCAGCTGCTGAGTGGGGAAGAGGGAGAAGAAAGTGGGGGCGAGAATGAGACCGATGGCCAGGTCAGCCTGGGTTGTTTGCTGTACAGGGAGGGGCAGTATGAAGCTGCATGCTCCAAGTTTTTTGCCGCCCTGCAGGCTTCGGGCTACCAGCCTGACCTTTCCTACAACCTGGCTTTGGCCTATTACAGCAGCCGACAATATGCCTCAGCGCTGAAGCATATCGCTGAGATTATTGAGCGGGGCATCCGACAGCACCCTGAGCTAGGTGTGGGCATGACCACTGAGGGCATTGATGTTCGCAGTGTTGGCAACACCTTAGTCCTCCACCAGACTGCTCTGGTGGAAGCCTTCAACCTTAAGGCAGCTATAGAATACCAACTGAGAAACTATGAGGCAGCTCAAGAAGCCCTCACTGACATGCCACCCAGGGCAGAGGAAGAGTTGGACCCTGTGACCCTACACAACCAGGCACTAATGAACATGGATGCCAGGCCTACAGAAGGGTTTGAAAAGCTACAGTTTTTGCTCCAACAGAATCCCTTTCCTCCAGAGACTTTTGGCAACCTGTTGCTGCTCTACTGTAAATATGAGTATTTTGACCTAGCAGCAGATGTCCTGGCAGAAAATGCCCATTTGATTTATAAGTTCCTCACACCCTATCTCTATGACTTCTTGGATGCCATGATCACTTGCCAGACAGCTCCTGAAGAGGCTTTCATTAAGCTTGATGGGCTAGCAGGGATGCTGACTGAGGTCCTCCGGAAACTCACCGTACAAGTACAGGAAGCAAGACACAATAGAGATGATGAAGCTATCAAAAAGGCAGTGAATGAATATGATGAAACCATGGAGAAGTATATTCCCGTGTTGATGGCTCAGGCAAAAATCTACTGGAACCTTGAAAATTATCCAATGGTGGAAAAGATCTTCCGCAAATCTGTGGAATTCTGTAACGACCATGATGTGTGGAAGTTGAATGTGGCTCATGTTCTGTTCATGCAGGAAAACAAATACAAAGAAGCCATTGGTTTTTATGAACCCATAGTCAAGAAGCATTATGATAACATCCTGAATGTCAGTGCTATTGTGCTGGCTAATCTCTGTGTTTCCTACATTATGACAAGTCAAAATGAAGAAGCAGAGGAATTGATGAGGAAGATTGAAAAGGAGGAAGATCAGCTGTCTTATGATGACCCAAATAGGAAAATGTACCATCTCTGCATTGTGAATTTGGTGATAGGAACTCTTTATTGTGCCAAAGGAAACTATGAGTTTGGTATTTCTCGAGTTATCAAAAGCTTGGAGCCTTATAATAAAAAGCTGGGAACAGATACCTGGTATTATGCCAAAAGATGCTTCCTGTCCTTGTTAGAAAACATGTCAAAACACACAATCATGCTTCGTGATAGTGTTATTCAAGAATGTGTCCAGTTTCTAGAACACTGTGAACTTCATGGCAGAAACATACCTGCTGTTATTGAACAACCCCTGGAAGAAGAGAGAATGCATGTTGGAAAGAATACAGTCACAGATGAGTCTAGGCAGTTAAAAGCTTTGATTTATGAGATTATAGGATGGAATATATAGTAATAGCTGATAATGGCATTTATCAAATGGCTTTGTTCTATAAATTTGCATTGCTTTATTTAACCTTTGGCATCTTTATATTTGTTACATGTTGAACTTTGTACACTATGCAATATAAAAAAAAAAGTAGCCAAAACTTTTGCTGTTACATTTCCCAGAAAGTGAAACATTCTAAGAACTTTTACCCCAGGGGTTATGAAAAATTCCCAACTTATGAAGAATGTTTCTATCAGAAGTTGTAATACCTTTGTTTCCTTTCCTCTGTAACCTTGTGCTCTGATCTCTCTTCAGGGGCCTTTGCACAAGGATTACATCATTCAGGGACCAAGCACTATCTCAGTAATAGTTAGGAGTAATCTTTAAATAATCATTTCAGGGATTGTGTGTTCTAGTCTCACAATTTACACTCATTAATTTGTAATGCATACTTTTTATATAGACTTTAGGATACTTTGGCAGTGTTTTTTAATATGGATATAATGCTTTATCTAACCAAAATGCCTTAGGGTATAAGTGGGGTTTTTTTTTTTTTTTAAACGGGCAAAAGTCAGTAAAAAATTTTGTAGCTTTAATAAAATTATGATGCTATAATGTAGACACAATGAACAATTATCAAAGAACAAATTTCCCTGGTTTTTTGTTCCCTTTAATAATTTAAATATATGAACAAGATATGCTGTTACTATTTTCCATGATGACTTTTTAAATATTTATCTCTGTGACAAATAACAGATGTATCCTGAGAACTCAGGGGTTTAAGAGACAGAGGTTTTGTTATGTTTGTTGCCCAGGTTAGTATCCAACTCCTAGGCTTAAGCATACTCCCACTTCAGCTTCCCAAGTAGCTGGGACTACTGGTGCAAATCACTGGGTCCAACACTCAGTTCTTAATTCCTACGTTTGTGCTTGCAATTTAGGATATGCTGGGTGTACAGTGTTTCCATGTTGTAGCCTCTTGGATAAGGAAAAATCTTGGCCACCAGGCCTGGCCAAAAAGGTCAACTCTAAGTTGTAGTGTTCATTTCATGTCCACAACTCCCAAGAGTTTTTTGGAGTTCCCACTGGGAACCACATGCATTCTGATCAGGCATTTTATTTTCTGAACCTTAAAAGAGCTTTACTATTTGATTTCCCACTCCTCTCTTTCCACAAAAAGACCTAACTTGACCTGGCTTAGAAAAATCAAGTGTATTAGATTGAATCATATGAAGTTGTTGATTTTGACAGTTTTTGACTTAGAAAACTAGCAGTTTCTCATAGCTCAACCTAGTAGCTTTCTTCTGAATGATAGGGAACCTCTGCCATAATGAGATGATTTTTTTCCTTCAAGGAAAAGGAACCACTTAGCCACATAGGTACTGATAAAAACATGCTCAGCATAATTCCTCTGTAGCATGACCTCAAATTGTGCTCAAATTGTATTATACCAGGAAATTTGGCTTTTTGTGAAGTTAATGGTTTTGAATTTATGGCATTTTAAATCTTAATTATCTGAGCTGCTATCATTTACCACTGATGCTTTAGTGTCACATGTGGAGGACAAGCAATGTTTACTGACCTCTTCACTGCATCCCATAGCACATTCAATGTTTGGGAAATGTTCTTTGTTTAACAACTTCTGTACTAAAAGTGTTGCTGCAGTAGCTTTGTGCCCCTGTCAATCTTGGTAGCCTCTTAAGATTTGGAAAGTAAATGAACTGAAATCTTGTTTTCAATGGCCATATTAAAATTCTGTTTTTTTCCTGTTTCTTCTAAACCATGCTATTTTCTTTAGGGGAAAAAAAGCATAAAGTGTAACTAATGTTAACCACCCAAAAACAAATGTTTTCCAGATTCCCTTTTGCAAATAGCCTGGTCTTTATTTGGCCACAATTTACCCAGGTGTTATGTGTTTGTGGTTTTCATGTATGTGTAATTTAACTTTTCAGAACATAAAAAGCTTTTCTGAATGGTTTTTAACCCCTTGCTGCTGGGCATTTGGGATTTCCTAGTTAGTAATGTATAAGGAAATCCTGACTGCTCACACCAGTAAGAAACAAAGGTGAACCATGCCATTTGTCCCCTTCCTTACCCTGGCTCTCAGACAGGCACCCACGCAGATTCAGATTGCTGCTGGCGGCAACAAAGTCTTATGAACCACACAGAGTCAAGAAGTCTGGTGCTGAGGCCTGGGAAGACAGGGCATTCCTAACTCCCCTGGCACTTTTTGTCCTTATTTTCAGGATATACATCTTTAAAACTCACATTCAAAGTACCCTGCCTTGCTTGATTCTAAAAAGCAAATGACTTTACAATGACCCCATATTTTGCCATTTGAGTGAAAGCTTCTGTACCTAAAACTCAAATGAAAGCTTTGTTCTGTGCTCCTAGAGTATATAAAGTGCTAAAAGCACTTTTCTTGACAATGAGCTCCTTATAGAAATATAAGGAATCTTTTAAGATTTATTCATAATACCTGCATAGTCTATTTTAAAGGACTCAAATATTAATTATTTCATCTTAGTCAACCCTTTGGTCTCCACATGGGCACACACAAAATAGGAGTGTGTGCGCTTATACACAGGTAGTTATATTTGTTTTCTCAGGAACAAGAACTTGATCTCTTAGTGCAGAACCAGCAAAAACATACTCCTTTGATCAGTGGCATGATGTGCCTGTCAAAGGATTTTTATTCCTCATGACAGTCCCCCTTTGAATGTGGCCTTAGCTGCAGAATGGAAAAAAATGTCCACACCCAAAATGTCCAGATGTTTGCCCCAATACCATCTGTGAAGGTCAGGTGTGGTGGCTAAGTCTGACCCATTCATGAGAAGCAGACAATTATGAGTGTGTGGGAATGAAGGTGGGTCATCTGGCAATGAGACAGCTATAATCATAAGAGGGACACTCCTAACCTGAGGGGTGTGTGGCCTCACAGGCTTAGAGAAGCACCTCAGATGGAATCCATACAGAATCACAGTGATAGGTTTGGCCCAAGGTTAGACTGATTTGTTTAGAGAGGGCTATGGGATAGATGCCCAAATAAATATACTTATTAGGAAATATGAGATTAGAAAGGGTAAATGGCTTGGAGGGGAAGCTTTAAAAGTAACTTTCTGACCCCTCTGCCCCATAATCCTCATCTGGGCTCATTTTCTCCCTGGTGTCCTGGAGGGTTAACAGTGTTGGAAGTCTGACTACAGTTAAGCAGAGTGAGACTGCGTAAACAACCTAACTTTAAAAGGATAACATCACTAAAGAAAGACTTTACAAGTGAGTATCAGGATTTTCAAATATAATTTTTGTTTCAGGATCCCTCTCTTCTTTTTCTTATTGACTCTGGGTGATCTGGAAAGACCTAGAGGTTGTGTTTCTGAGAGCATTCTCTGCAGAGCTTGGTGTTCCAAAGGCCACAAGGGATTTTAGACCCTGTACCCTGGACATGTTCCAAGACTCTCACATTATGTCAGACATGCAAGCCCTGCCCCAGCTTCTCCCAACACTCAGCTTTTCCTGGTATTAGTAGTTTCCTGGTATTAGTGTGACTTGCAGCTCATTCTCCACCATTCACTAAATGCCTCTTATCCTTTGTTGACCTACCTCTGGGACTAAAGTGACATTTGGGTTTTCTGTAGTTTTCAGTTTTTGGGCTATGCCCTTAGTATTAAGTCAAACCGTATTTTGTCATGAGCCAGTAACTCTTGGGTTTTGGTTGTCCAACTACATAATCACCATGACTGTAACCATCAGATTCTAAACTGATACCTTCATTCTAGTTATAAGCTATATACTTTTTGAGTACCCTAATGTAGCTCAAACCCTTCAGCAGCAACCTGAATTCTTAAATTAGTATTTTTAAGGAATTGTGACTTTCCTAAGAACCTAGATTGTTGTCTCTAGGTTATAATAAAACATTTCTTTAATCTCAAACAGTTCTTTCAATTTTCAGTCTCCCAATGGAAGATGTATAACTTATAGAAAAAGGTTGTCTTATATTTTTAAGTGCAGCTCAAAGAATACTAAAGTTATAAAAATGCAAATTTATTCACTCCATCAGATACTTCCTTTTATGAGTTTCATATTAAACCCACAAAATCAGTGCAGGATACTGTGGGTTAAACATTTACACAGCAGGACAATATCTGAGAAAAAACCTTTCTGGCATTCTATGGCATGTGGTCACAAAGACAGCAGCTTCTACTCTGTAGTAGGAAGAGACTCCATTTCCTTACTTGTCGTTGGGAAAAGCTGAGTGTTGGGAGAAGCTGGGGCAGGCCTTGCTTGTCTGACATAATGTAAGAGTCTTGGAACATGTCCGGGGTCCAGGGTCTAAAATCCCTCATGGCCTTTGGAACACCAAGCTCTGTGCTAAAGGGTGGAAGGCTACCCTGATATACCATCATCTAAGCCCAGGACATAAAACTCCTTGTGGCTTGGAAAGAATCCAGGGCTGAGGGCATAAAACCCCTCGTGGCCTCTGGAATGTGTCTAGACTTGCTGGTTCCTTGCTTCTAGCCCTTCCAGGCTCCTAGATCAATTGTCTTAGAATTGGTCATATAAATGCTAAACCGTCACAGCTGTAAATCATGTGCTTAATACAATGCTCCCTTTCAACCCCACATTCTCACCACCTGTTTCTTTGATCACCAATAAACAGTAGTCTGGGCTTCCAGGGCTCAGGGCCTTGGCAGCCTCCATACTCGCGTTGGCCCCCAGACCCACTTTATTTCTCAAACTGTCTTTTCTCATTCCTTTGACTCCGCTGGACTTCATCGCCCCCATGACCTGGTGTTGGGTCTGATCACCCCAACACTTGAGCCCTTCTCTACAGGACAACTAATAATCTACTCTAAAAAGAAATTCTGTGTACATCATAGTCATCCAGCACAAGTAGCCTACAGCAGTGAAGCAGCCAGCACACAGGTACTGGAGTTAGTCACCTGGCTCCACAGTCCTGCAATGCCACTTCCCAGCTACTAATGGTGGGTGCTTCTTAACCTAACCAAACTTCAGTTTTTTTCACCAGTAAAAAGGGGATGATACCAGTTACTTCACAGGGTTGTTGTGATAACAATGCTACCTTCTTGCCTGTCTGGCAAAAAAGGGTAAATTTAAAAATTAATTATATAATAATCAATTCTAGGGTAGTGTTCAGCAAAAACACAGACACATTAGAATCACTGAGACTGAGTTGAAACGGACCTCAGAGTTTTTCACTTTATAAAAGAAGAAATTAGGTCCGAATAGGGAATGTGACTTGTAGTTTGTAGAGAAAAATGAATCACACCCAAAATGTCCAGAATAGAACCTTATCCACTGCTTCTTGTATTTAGAACCCTATCTTCTAAGTTACTTTACAGTGGTAAAATTCTGCCATTTTCTAAAAAGAGCAGCTTCACCTATCTAATGTTAGCACAATGAGGTACAAAGGACATGGCAAAACTACGCAAGGGTGGATTTCAGAGCTTGTCCATCAGGCAATACCAGGCCCAATCAACAGACTGCATCAGAAAATGTAGCAGAAAATGGGTTTGAGTCTTTCAAAAAGAGAAACACGCCCCTGAGGCCAAACATAGGCAAAAGGAAATGTGATGGCAGGAAGGTTTCATTTCTTTTTCTTATAGGGTAGCACATGAAACTGTAGTAGTAGCTTTATCAGGATTTCACTGTGGCAGCAGAAAATGTTAAAGTAAACATGATTACTTATCTGACATAAATGCTGATTAACTGAATAAAAAGTGTATTTGTGGCCAAAATGTAAAAGTATAAGGTGGACAATTGTATGTCAAGCGAAAGTGTACATGTCTGAATCCTGAATGTTCTTTCATGGATGAAATGTCAGGATCATGGGTCAGATAGGCCCTTGTACCAATTATCTGTCATTACTTGGATGAAAATCCAGACAGTATTTGTCTCTATTTTACTGATGACCTGAAGCTTGATGGCACAGAAAATATTCTGGGTAAGAGTCAAGATCCTAACATTTTGAAAATATGGAACTAACTCCAGTAAGATACAAATTTTAGTAAAGCTAAATATAAGTAATGGGGCTTTAAAAAAATTCGCCTCCAAGGAGATGCGGCCAAAATGTCACATGAAAAAGACAATCTTTGGTAAATGGCATATAGTCAGTATGAGTTGACAGAGCAATGCCCACCAAAAATGCTTTTTTATTAGTGACTACACTAGAGGAAGCATTGGTACTACTCTGGAAGATTTGTTTTCAGGCCTAGACACCTCACTTTAAAAACAGCAAATGGGCACATGTGAAGAGATTAAGGTGAAAGTCTATAAATGACAGGAGCAAAGGTTGACAGGAGAAGGTGTTGAGGAACATGGGACCTGACTTAAAATATCTGAAGAGCAGCCCTTCAACAGAGCAATTGGACAATTCTTTATGACCAAAGGTGGCAGAAGTTGTATAATGGGTAGAAGACAAACACAGATTTCAGTCTAATAATAATAATTTAAAAATTTCCTAATACTTGAAGATGACAGAAGTTGGAAAAGGCTTCCTGGAAAGGCAATGAATTTGCATTTGTTCACAGCAATAAATGGTCAGGAAGACTGGTTATCTGTTTGTGGTCTGGGGAATGTTAGGTAGCAATTATGTTCAGATGGGATGAAGCAAATAAGATGGGATGATTTCTAGAGTTCATTCAATCTGAACTTATATAAGTCAGGTAGAAAATTGCTTTTCTTAACTACATAATACAAGAGCTAAAATCTTAGTATGGCTAGTGATTACTGAAATGTATCATGTAAGACAGAGTTCAACAGGTCTGACCTTCAGTCATTTCAGAGCCCAGATAGCTACAACCTTCCTTTCAGTGTGGGAGCCACAGGCAGGGATGTAATCAGTATCTGTGCCCATGCCCTTTACTACCAGAGAGGGTACTCATGGGCACAAAGTGTATCCTTTTGTTTTTGCCAAGAATAGCATGCTGTCAACAAAGGTTAAATAGAACCAACGTGAAATAAACAACAATTTCTTTAACAATGGGTGGTTGTGGTATTGATTTATTTTTCCCCAGCACATCTTAAAAATCACACATGGGCATTTGCTTATAGAACAGTACAGTCTAAGAAAACCAATAAAAGGAGAATCTGAACACACACTGAAAGCATGGAATACTGATATGTGTTGAGCCCTTGTGGAAAACAGTATGGCTCAGTTGGAATTGATAAAGCTACGCTGGAAACTCTCAGGAATTTTCCTTCCCACTGCATATCCCCTTTTAGACTATAAATGTAAAGAGAAGAATTGTTTGTATGCATTAGTTACAGCAGTATAATGGCTTACATACAGGTGCTTACTCACATGTAGTTCCCAAAGGATTACTACAGTCCTAGCAGGAATATGTACTGCCTTGGAGGAAGACTCAGGATAAGATATTATTCAAGTCAAGTTGTATCAGAGCCAAAGTATTTCACAGGCTTAGCAAAAATGGACAAGAATTAATATAACCTACATATATTTCTCATAAGATTTAATCATTGTCCAGAACAGAAATATTCGTTATTCTGAAGGCACCATCACACGAAAAAGGACTGGCACATAATATTAGGAATAAAAACCACCCGCCCCCCGCCAGCTCCACAGGTTCTGTTCCTCAGGGAGCCTATAAGCAAACATCCAGAAAAAATGTAGCGAGTGTCTTGAGGCTCAATGCCACATCCACCAAGCCACAACTTAGGGCTACTAGGTTGGGGCAGTAGGAATGAAAATCACATACAAATCCCATTGACTGATTAGATGTGTATCAGAGTACAGGTCCACCATACAATTAGTTAAATATACTAGAACAGATTATCCAAAACAATACTGTGGAAAGAATTACCAGTGTTTCCACATACAACTACTTAATTCCTGACATGTTCTTGAAGAGGAATAGTCTTGAACTGATGAATGACCTCTGTCTAAAGACTCATCCTCTCCCACTCATTTAAAATAATGGCTATTTCATGGAAAAAAAAAAAATCTCAACAAGGCACTGTGAGCTTTTGGGGATATAGTATATAAGTAGCCCAAAAATAACTACTTATAGAAACTTATATGCCAGTATGAGCATTTCATGTCCTTTTCCGATATGTGAACAAGATTACTTTAAAGGAAAAACATGTTTCCTAGGGTGCATGTGGTGTTCAGGAAAAACGCTGCCAACAAAAGGTTGTCTTAAAAACACGCATATATGTTGCTTAGAAATCCACGATGAAACAGATTTTTTTCCTTTTCTTTCTCACTCAGATTTGGAATTCAGAGTCTCTGCAAGATGTTTTTCCTTGTGGAAAAATAAATAATCTCCTTTGGAAACCAAAAAAGAAATGTTTTCATGTTCACAGAACTAAAGTTACTAAATTCTGTGATGGTTCTTTGGCTTGAGTGTTCTATATGTCAGTGGTCCTTACTCCGATTTGTTAAGGAATTGTGATTAGAAGAGCACAAGAGTGCTCTTTGAGGATCTTCCAAGGTTCAAAAGGGAGTGCTTCGGGTTCACAGGAGTCTCAATGCCTCCTGGGAATATAGCATTGATTTTAAAAAATGATGAGGGATTGACAAAACCTAGCTACCAATATTGTCAACTATAAATCCAAAGAGATTTAGTCACAAGTAGGTTGCACTTGATTATGCTAGAAGCAACAAAATTATAAAAATAAATTTTGTGTTTTCAAATCAGTGGAAATATGAACATGAAAAAACTAAAGTTAAAAGAAAAACCCATATGCAAACAGAAGAATAAACAGCTTCACACTCCCTTTGAAGAAAAAAAACTTAGACCCAGGTCCATTTTATTAATAATATGATCTATAATCTCTTGACATTACAAGTAGTTTTTACAGTTAAATTTCACACTGAAGACAAACACTGTTTGGCTTAGGGAGCAGAAAGCTGAGTAACTTACATCCTTTATATCAGACACTATATTTTAACAGTTTAAGAAAACCTTTTATACTTTCTGGATTTAAGCATCAATGTATAAGTTGTTTCCTTTACAGGAAACTGAAATAAGTAAAAATTAAGTGAATATACTGACATATGTATGGCTCATTTGGGAGCATGAAGCCTAGAGCAAAGCCAAGCTTCTGTAACTCATAAAGTCAAAGGTAAAACATTCTGGATTCTTCAAACCTAAATGGGCACTTGTTATTTTCCACTTTTCTTCAACCATGAGCTAAGTCCTAACTAAAATCAGAGTTGATAAAGATTAAGTGGTAAACAAAAAAATTATTAAAGCTGTCCTTAACTCCTGTCTGAGTGTTTTTTAAGATGTAGATATATGCTTTCCACAGCATTCCATTTTGGCTGCCTGAAGCACCAGCACATGCAGTTTGTAAATCAATCTGTAGTAACTGTGTTCTAACATTTATACAGAATAGAAGATCAACCAAACCCAGCCCCATATAACAGCCAAGGGAACACACTTCAGTGTAGGACTACAGAGCTTCTCTGATAAGCTACAGTTAAGTTGTAGCTATAAAGGAATATGACAAAGGAAAGTCTGGGTGCTAACATGCAGAAAAGCATTTTCAAAAATGCAAGCCAGGACTTAGCAGTTACTAACAGACTATTCTGGGTGGGGGGAAAGGTTTCCTTGCAACCATCTGTATCTGGTATAACATATACACCGATGGAAGCTCATCCTTTATTGCAATTTTGTTTTCAAAATACATCAACACAGTTAGGCAAACTAGAAGG